ACGTTATCTGCAATTATTGTATAATCGGCTTTCTGACATATTGGGGCCCAAATTTTGGCTCTGAAATGGGGAACCAAACTGCATTGTGAGGGAGGTGGTAACTTCAGAGGCCACAACCAGGCATAACACCCTCCAGGTGTAGTTGGCTGGGTGGGGGAGAAAGATGGGAGTGGCATGGGGAGTTCTTCCAAGGACCTCATGCTACACCTTGTGAAAAGGTGCTTTTCCCCACTGGCAGTCTCACAGGCACTTTCTAGTGGGTGTGGGGATGCAGGTCAGGACTTTCCTAGACACACCTGAGCTATGTCTACACTGGCGGGTTCTTGCACAAGAACAGCTGCTCTTCCACAGAGCATCCGCACTGACCGCCTGCCCGCCCTTGCGCAAGAAGATTTACAATAAAGCGTGATGAGAGGGCTTATTGCGCAAGAGCTACACTCTTTTCTAACAAGTGTAAGCTGTCTTGCGCAAGAGCTCTTGTGCAAGAGGACAGTGTGGACGCGCGGCAGGGGTTTCTTGTGTAAGAAAGCCCTATGGCTAAAATGGCTATCAGAGCTTTCTTGCGCAAGAGAGTGACCACACTGCCATGGATGCTCTTGTGCAAAAGCACATGGCCGTGTTGACGTGCTCTTGTGAATGGGAAGTTTACAAGTACTTGAAGTGTACGTTGCTACAAACTCCTCATCAGGCTCATGGAAGATTTCAAAGTTCATGGCATATGATTCAAGTTAACTGTTTTGCCGTCTAAAATATTGTCTTATGCCCAGGATCTCATTGAGGTCAAATGACTGACGTGCTTTCCAAGTTTTATGTTTATAAACATAATGGATAAGAATCATTTAAGTGCATAAGATATTTAGGATCCTAAGTTTCAGTTTCAAAAGTGACTTAGAATCCTAAGTCTCATTAACTTTCAATGGGACTTTAGCTAAGTGCTTTTTAAAATAAGACTCGTGCTCCTAAACCACTTTGGTGCTTTAACAAATTGTACTCAATATATTATTGACATTATTTGAAGAGGGCTCGCATGAAATTTAAGGCAATGAGAGGAGTTTTGGGAAGGACAGTGAGTTAATGGTCAAAACTAGGCTTTTCATGGAATTGTCTCACTGGCTAGTACAAGGTGGGTAATAAAATGGCAGCGGTTCACCAGGGTTAGCCTCTGGCAGGCCACCTCCACTATATTTACCTGTTCCTTTGCAGGTATGGGAAATTGCAGCTCCTGTTGGCTGTGGATTGCCGTTCCCAGCCAATGGCAGCCACAAGAAGCAGCACAGTCTGGAGCATCACTTCCAACACTCTCATTGGCCAGCAATGGTGATTCACAGCCAACATGAATTGCAATTGCTCCTATCTGCATAGGCGCAGGTAAATATAGTGGCTAACCTTGGGGGAAGTGGTTCTGGCTCATAGGCTGGTATTTGCCCACTCCTGGCCTAGCCTATGGAGATATAGCTACATTAAAAGGAAAAGCAAAGTGGCAGAATTTAAAGAGAATTCTTAGAACTTTTCTTATGCAGAGCCTCAAAAACAGGTATTTTTCCAGTTTCTCAGAAACACTGTCTCTGCCAGAATGTCTTTCTGCAACTCAGAATGAGGTGTAACTTGCAGTGTACTAGGAAGATACATATTTCTTATGTCTGGGTTTGTATCCCATTGCAATATTCCACAGGGACAACTTTACTCAAGGAACACATGGCATGAGAAGATTATCCTGCAGATAAATGGAGGAAGAACGTATGTTTGGGGGGAAATAAAACCGGAAAATCTGAGTGCTCTGTTTTGAGACCATACTGGTGACAATCCATTCTACATACCTACCCTACCTTTCTGTTTAGCATCACAAATCAAAGACAGTTGGCCCCTGGATTTCTGATAGCGATGTACCAGATTGCAGGAAATGAGGGATTTGTTTCCCTAACTGTTTTCAAAATTGTCTGTTAGCTTCCTAAATCATCTTTCAAAAAGCTATTCCATTGCCATGTGTAGGGTTGGCTGGACTCCTAAATGAGAGCAGGCCTGTTCCAAACTATTGCACAGATCCTCAGCTGGTGAAAATTCACTATCCGCTCTGACTTACAGGTCGGACCTCCCTGATCTAGGACCCGAGAGGATCCAAAGGAGGGAATTTGCTGGATCAGTGGAGTTCCCCTGCCACCGTTCTCCCAGCCCACTGTACCTTCCTATGGCTGGCTGTGCTCCTGCCCCTTTGCCACTGCTCTCCAGCCCTGGCCCCGCTGGCATCGGCTGCCCCTCCTATTTCTGCCCTGTCGAGCCCAGGCTCCCCAGGGACAGGGCTCCCCAGTCGCTGCTACCCTCTGCTGCTGCCCCACCCATCCAGGGCTCCCTGAGGATGGGGCTCAAAGGCCCTGATGCTATCCTGCCTGGCTGGGGCTCCCCAGGGCTGGGGCCTTGTGACAGAGTCCCCACTCAGGCCCCTTGGTTTGGGACACCTGGTCCACGAATCAGCCAGAGACACTTCTGGTGCAGTCACCCATCCTTTTATTGTTAGTTCCCACCACTATCTATGTACAAAGCTTACAGTCAATTCAGCCAGCTCCTCCATCTGCCTAGGAGTGCACTCAGCCACACCGAAGCTCCTCCTTGCCCCCTCCTGGCTTCCTTCTTTGCCTTATATAGCCTTCTTCCAGTGAGGCCCACAGCTGTTTCTAATAGCCCTTCAGGCCTGTGCTTGCTCAGCTGTGGCCATCAGTCTTCAGCCAGACTACAGTGGCAGAGCTCTGGCTTAGCCAGCAGTCTGTCACAGGCCCCCTGGCTGCCGCCATCCCTGCTGGTGGGGCTCCCGGCTGCTGGACTCATGGCCAGCTTCCCCTCCCGGGTGCAGGGCTCTCTGGTCCGGCAACATCTGTGGTCTGCTTCAGTTCAAATGGTTAAGTAGGACAGTCAGGCAAGAGCAGTGATTTTTTGGGGGAGGGAGAAAGGAGAAGAATTGGAAAGTTCGCAGTGTCTGGTCTGGCAGGACCACAGATATTGTTGGACCAGAGATTCATGGATTTAGAAGGTTCAACCTGTACTTGAGCTGAAGATCTGGCCCAAAGTATTGCACACTTTTCCAAGAGAAATGTGTGTACTTCTGAACAGTTGAATCTTGGGAGAGGGCATATTTTGAACTGATTGTATGTCTCCCAGGATATGTCTACTGACGTTATTCCAAAATAACATAGTCCGTATCTACACAGCAAGCAGTTATTTTGACATGATGTTGAAATAATATCGAGCTGGAGGACTTCTTACTGTAACTCCTGTAACCCTCATTTTACAAGGAGTAAGGGAAATCGGAGGAAGAATGCTCAAACTCGGACTTCCTGCTATGGAGACCTCACCAAAAGCTGAAATAAGCTATTTTGAATTAAGCTACGCAATAGACGTAGGTCAAGTTGGGTAGTTTATTTCGGCTTCAGCTCTGCTGTTTAAATGTGCCCCCACAGGCCAAGGAATAGCTGTGTGAAAAGGTTGATTTTGCTAAACCAAAATGCTGTTTTCCTGATAAGGAGTTGACACCTGTTGTGCTCAGATATTTTGAACAATCTGGCACAACAATTCTCTTACCCATTGTGTTCCAGTTAAGTGTATTTTAAACCCTCCAATCCCCTAAATACCTTTGAGTAAGAGAAACTATGAAAGGGAGATTTTTTTGTATCATAAGTGAATTGTGTGATTATTTAAAAAAAAATACATTTAGATGGATCTTTGGTAATCTCCTGGATTATAAGAAGTGTGCAGCTTGTTCTGTTACCGATAAACCATCCATATTTCTGGCATAGGGCACATAACTATATCCATTATTACAAAATTCTCATAAACCTTGACTTTCTCTAGCCAGCTTTTAATTCTGGCTAGCTGACAGAAGTGGCTAGTTTATCTTTGAACAGCAGGGCTCTAATGTTTCTGTTCAGTGCATCACATTTCAACACGCAGCTACTTATCAGTGGCAAAACACAGACAGAGCTTAATCCAGCTCTGAGATTCAGAGATACAGGTTCAATCCAAACATGAAGTTAAATGTAGAGATGATGCTTCCCCTTCCCCCCTAAGATCTAAACTGAGCTCCTCTGAAGCAGATTTTTTACAGTCTCATTCATATTTCAAAATCCCACTATGGCTATTGGACTCTCAGTATTTTGAGTACCAGACAAAGAATCCCCAGTGTTCCTAATATTCAGAACTTAGGGACATGATATAATGGGCCAACATAATTCAAGTATGTGTTTGCAAAATGAAAAATCCCAAATGTAAAATGCTCTATAATTAGGAGACGAAGGTCCAAGGTTAAGGAACTTTTGTGACCTGGGCTCAATTCCCTACTCTGCCACAGACTTCTGGTGTGAGTATGTACAAGTCACTTAGCCTTTCTGTGCCTTGATTTCTCTGCATCTGTAATGTGGGGTTGATATCACTCCCCTACCTCACAGGGGAGTTGTGAGCATAAATACGTTCAAAACTGTGAGGTGCTCTGACAACCATGGTAATGGGGCCATAGAAATGTGTGATGAATTCAGAGAGGATGTTTTGGATCTTGCATTTTGACTGTACCATAGAGGAGTCTTATCTGCTGCATTGTGCACCTGAATGCTTAGAAAGATTATTGGTATTAACATTTGTAAATCCTTCTCAAAATCTGTCATATCCTAAAAATTAATTGACCTGAACTCTTGACTTGTGAGGCTCACTCTGAAGGCATCAGAGTGTCCTAATAGAGGCGTGAAATAAAAAGGCAAGTACTGAACCTTTTAACAGTGGTTATGCATACTTTCTTAGATGGACAGTCACTTGGCTGTCCATTCCTTGAGTGAATATATGCTTAAATTTAAGCACAAATTGAAGTGGTATGCTTAATAGGTGTAGACTTTAAACTGCTGCAATGTCCATAGGAGTTGAGCTACAGCAGGTTGGTTGGGGCCCAACTCTAGTTTCATAGGCATCCTGGCAAGTAATGAGTAATTATTGACAGACATTTATTTTTTTTTCTCTTTCTGTAGGATTTGTGTGTAATCTGCATTAAGTGCTAACATACTGAAGGACATTTGTTCGCCTCAGAAGGGCTTCATATTCAAGGATCATGGTAGACAGCTTAATAGTACCTTTGAGGTAAGTTGTACAATAACATTTTTAATGACTTCTTACGCTTCTGCCACTCTTTTGATTAAGTGCTGATTTGACTGTATATCTGCAGACTTTTCAAGCAAGCATCATTTTAATTGTTTGGGCCATTAGTAGCTTAGTGCAAAGTCCACTCCAAATGGTTAAGAACAACAATCAGGAAAGGGTAGTGATTTTTGGGAGGAGAGGTAAAAAATTGGAAAATTCCTAAGGTACAGCTAGACTGCAGCTTTTTTCGATCCTTTTGTCGGAAGGGGCTTTTCCGACATTTGGCCCGTCTAGAATGAGGAATACAGGGGCTTCCGAAAGAGTGCATTTGCTCTTCCCGGAAAAAAAAGCGGAAGAGCAATGCGTCCCTAGACCTACGGTATCCTGGAAAAACTCTTGTAGTCTAGCTGTTCCCTCAGTGTCTTGATCCTGTTCCAACAAGACTTCTCTTCACCTTGTGTCAGTGTGTTTGTGAGATTTCTTGTAATTTGCAGCATTTTTAATACCAGTTTTGATGAGCTCTAATGACTCCTATTTATAATAAATGCCTGAAGAAGTGGGCTGTGCCCAGGAAAGCTCATGATACCATCTGCATGTTTTGTTAGTCTTTAACGGGCTACCAAACTTTTTGTTGTTTTTTAAGTTTATCCTGGACAGACTAACTTGGCTATCCCTCTGAAACTTTCAAAAACTGTATTCTTACATGTTGACATGCAGTGTATGCATTAAAGTTATAGGCTCTTGGAATGATTTGCCTTCATATTCATGTATCCCAAAATAGCAACACCGTGTCTTTAAAAGCGCCTGCTATTTCATGAAATAGCAGGTGCACTATTCTGGCATCCACGAGGGTTACGGGATTTGTTGGAATAGTGCCTTATTTTGAAATTTGGCTCTGTCTACACAGTACCAAATTTCAAAATAAGTTATTTCGACTTAGACTCGGAATAAGCTGCGCAATTTGCGTAGTGCCAGTTGTGTAGCTTATTCCGATAGAAGGGTGCTGTCTAGACGTACCCTTAGTTAGGAATGACAGTTGGGGCATTGTGGTTTTCCTTTCATTTGTGAGAAGATGGACTGGAAGTGACACCTCAGGTCCTACCCTTTCTCTTTTCTAATGAATTTCAAATTTGACCCAAGCTTTTGGACCCACATCCAGACCTGCTTCAGTGTTGAACCTTTAGCTGCACTAATTCTACACTGCAATGGATCTGCTATATACTGCAGTCTGTAACAGTACTACTTTTTCTGTGAACACTTCTCCCAGCTTACCCTGTCTCCCCTCCCCCCCCCGGACATAGACAAACCTGGAGCCCCCATGCTCAAGGAAGTCACTCGCTACGATCATGGCCGCTAGCAGCATAGGAGATGGCAGTGTCCTCAAAGCTTATACTGTGAGGAGATAAGCCCTCTCCCCCACCATAATGAATAATACGGGAGAAACTCACTGAGGAATCCTTATCCGTGTTTTTCCGCCCCTTGGGTTTTCTGTGGGGAAGAGGCTCTTGGACGGTGCCAACAAACCCTTTTGGCATTTCTCTCCAGGTAAGAGCAGTCTTGTCTTCAGCCAGAAACCATCCCAGTCATAGATTTTTGTGTGTGTTAATAACATTGTCTTTAAAAAAAAGTGGCATTGCCATTACAAGAAAGTATCACTGAATATTTTGCTGTATTTTCTACCGGGATGTTTTGGTTTGACATATGATAGATCCTTACATACTCCGCTTTGCATGTTGTGCCTAATTTTGATGTGTACTCCTTTTTTTTTTTTTTTGCTTTGCCACATATTTAGAATGTCTATAACAAATCATCAGAGCAGGATAAACCAATGTTTGTAGTTTAGCAAAGGGGTACTCAAACTTTTCCTTTGAGCTCCCTCCCCGATATACTAAAAAATCTTCAGGGCCCATCAGGAGAGAGGGATGTAGGGCTCAAGGTTGAGGTGGGAGCTCTTGGGCATAGGCATAATTTGACTTCTATTTGGGTGGGGAGCAAGAGCCAGCAGGGTCCAGAGAGAGAGCGAGCCAGCCCCACCTGCTGTCTCACTTCAGCAGGACTACTTCCCTAGGGCTCTGCTAGATCCAGAGCCACCTGTGCAGCTCTGACCGGCTGCATGAACAGTCCAAGGGGGCTGGGAGCTGAGGAGCAGCCAAAACCTTGGGCACCAGCAGCAGACCTGGGAATGCCACAGCTGCTCCTTCCACGGCAGCTCCAGCAAAAGGAGTGGCTTCCCTGCACTGCCTAGCTGTGACTTTCCACCCAAGAACTGGCCAGAGAAAGGACTTGAGGAGGTGTGGGGAAGAGTAGCTGGTGGTAGGAGAGGAACTGACCCCAGGCCTGTCTCTTTCTGAATAAAGTACTGAAGTCTGGGGCGGGGAAGGGATACTATTGTGCCCCCTTAACTCTGCCCATGGGCTGAAGGCTTCTGCCTATGTCAGAGTTCCGGACCCACCACTCCCACCTGCAGGGAGGAGGGAGCTCAGGGCACCAGCTGCGTGCTGCTCTTGGCTGTGAGTGGGAGCTCATGGCATCAGGTTTCAGCGGCAGGCTCTGTGGCTCCTCTTAAGGGTCTCAGGGTATGTCTACACTACAGTGCTAATTCGAACTAAGCTAATTCGAACTAATGGATCCAGACTAAAAAACTAGTTTGAATTAGCGTTTTGCTAATTCGAACTAGCATGTCCACATTAAGTGGACCCTGAACCGGGGTTAAGGATGGCCGGAAGCAGTGCCGGCAGGGAATCAGATGAGGACTTAGAGCGTGGAGCTGCAGTCTCAGGCTAGCCAAGGGCTGTGCTTAAAGGGACCCGCCCCCCACCCCGGACAGACAGTTCTCAGGGGTGCCCCGCTTGCAAAGCAGTCCTGGCTTGCAGTGCCCTGAGTGCCCACACTGGGCACATCACAGCACTCGGCCATCAGACCGGCTGCACTTGCAGCAGGCTGCCATCTGGGAAGAGGGAGCAATTGGGGGGCTGCAGGAGAGGTTCCACCCCCCGAAGCCAGCAGAG